CATAATGCACTACAGAATGGACTGCAATCCTACACTGCCCTGTTGCTCCTTACATGCTGCATTACACACACACACACAAATATAAACACTGTGCTAATGTGAAAAATCTCCTGTGACGCCCTCTTGCGCCACTGATGATCAATGCAGTGCAGGAGAATTTAAAGGTACAGTTCACCTGAATGTATCATATGGAATCTGAAAGGTCCGTCTTAAACTATTGAACAGTCCTTTGATACTGAATATCTGTTGATACAGCGTTTTGATCACATATTAAATATTACAGGATAGCTGCACTATACACCCCATTCAATAAAATAAATTTGATCAGTTTAGATATTTCTGAGAAAAAACAGCTTGCATCATACTTTCATGATTTTTTACACTATACTGTGTTACGACCTATAGTTTTTTCGTGTAATATCTGATTGTCAATGTGAATCAGTTGTTTGAACAGTCTCAGTATCTTCAGCATGAATTAAATACGGATGTTCAAATGCAGTTTTCAGCCAAAAACAGCACTTCACAGGTGTGATGAACCTGAGAAATGTCATTAGAAACAGTATTTTTTAACTTTTTCTTAGTGTGAATATCACTACTGCACACACTGGCTGCTGTACGTGCTGCAGTGTACTTTTAGGGGGCTTCAAAATGGTACACAGGCTTGAAAGGCTAGAGAAACGAATGAATGAATGTGAAATGAATCTAGATTTGAAGGTGAGCTGCTCCTATATCTCAGTCATTGAATATCTCCACACAATAAAGAGCTGCACAGACGGCAGCAGATCGACCATCTGTTCTCTCACAGCAGCAGGTCGGGAGAGACGGAGGATTCGACCACAGTGTGTGGCGGCAGGGAGGGTGACTGAGGAGAACATGCCAACATATGGCTTCTCTGGGACTGGGCCAACCCCAAAGTTGTGGATTATCTGGCTTCCTTTCTCCAGTCAACCGCAATTTTGAAATATCAGTCAATACAGTCTCCAATAACATGAAAAAAAGAACGTGAGGAATTTATTATTTTCTTTGTTGTTTTCTTATAATCAACTGACTGCATTTTTTTTATGATTTTTTTATGATAAAATGTTATTTGGAAGACCCAAACTTAATTTTTTTACCATGTAACTTTCTACATATAAAAAACAGAGTTTAACTTACAGCTAATCCTTTTACAACATTAATGACCTGATTAAATAGCCCTAGTTGTAATATTTAGTGTCTTTTGAAATTTTGGTGATAATACAACACTTTAGTTTACGTTTGGATGCTTCTTTAATTCCTCGCACTGCTGCTGTATTGCTTGTTTTCTCCTGGCGGTTCGAGTTTTGTTCTGCGTTACTTTGGGACCATTATTTGTTTTATTTCTATTTTTTTATGTCAGACAAATCAAACACTGCTCCGAAGCCAGTGATGAAAACCTGAAGAAAGATGGTTGTGGACCCGCCTGCTGCAGCACAGCTAATGAGACAGGGACAGCCTGAGCCTGAGGGTGTGTAATGTGTGTGTGTGTGTGTGTGCGTGTTGCAGTGTCACTGGGGAATATTGATCACAGGCCTCCATCCACCCAGTGATACCACTGAAAAATCATAGCTTCTCCCCATGCAACATTGTAAGGATCTCTGAGTGTGTGTGTGTGTGTGTGTGTGTGTGTGTGAGTGAGAGAGTGTAAAAGCATGTGAACAGCATGCAGCTAATCCCTTCTGCTTGGATTCTGCTTGGCTCTCTAACACATTGGGCTGTTCTGCAGGTTGAATTAGCTGATCACCTACCTGATGAACTCTGTCTAACCTGTAACTCTGCGACGCTATTTTTATTATCAAATAACCTATCAATACGTTTTATGCAAGTGATTATTTATTAATTCTATACAATAAAATGCCATCACAATATCCCAGGGTCCAAAGTGATCCTTCAGTCTGAACAACAATCCAGGAACCAAAGGAGATTCAAATTACAATCAGCAAAATTTGATATTTTAGTAAATAAATTACTTCCAAGTAACTTTTTGTGAAACTTGACACAGAGTATATATACGATATAAGACATTTTTTGCAAGCCTATAATAAAATGTTTGTGCTAAACTTTAACTTGCTGCAAACAGGCTTAATCCAAACCAAACAGCCTATTAGAAAGGCAGTAAATCATGATGAGGTACTACTACAGCTCTGATAAGGTTGGTGAAAACTCACCAATGAATCCCACACACACAATATGAATATGAGCTCATCTAATAGACTGCTATATTGATAGAAGATTAATATGCTTCTGTTAGAGTGTTATTAATATCTGTTAATATCCGATAATACTGTGCGCCACAGACACATTAAGTCAATGGTTGGAGTAACTGCAGGGGTACCACAGCAGTGAAATTGTATTTTTGTGGCAAACCAAGCTCACAATGATGCTGTAAAGAAAAGCAATCCTTCAGTAAAAAGCCCATTTATGTGAGGTTAAGGGAAAAGATCAGTACGCAGGCAATAAGGCCAATATAAAGTCATTCTTCGAGCTGGAACTCGTAAAGCCGCGGTGCAGTTGGTCTGTGGTTGGAACAGACATCCTAAAAAGTGTGCGACATATTTGAGAATGCATGGTTGAAGTGGATGCAGGGAGCACAGCTCGTCCCGGTCCTCGGGGAGCAGACACGCCCAAACAGAAAACATGCCACTCTACAACACATTGCGACTTCAATGTGCAAAGCAGAGCGGAGCCAAACGCAGCCGCAGCGGCTCCGAGGAGTCAGCATCAGCACCTTCAGCTCCGCAGAGCTCATTTACAGCCTCCGAGGGGGGCAGCTCGGCCCCCCGCCCACCCCCCTTTCAAGCTCCCTCGCCGGGGCTCTTACCTGAAGCTGGCCGGGGAGTTCACCTGGATGTTGCGGCCAGACGGCGTGCTGGCTTTCCTCTTCTCTCTGTCCGCCATGCCGCCGCGCTATATCTCCTCCATTGGCTCCGCTGGCCCAGCAGACACCTGAGAGGTCCGGCGATGCTGCGATAGGGTGTTGCCTTCAGAGACTGTGGGGGAAAAGGAAACTCGGCACAACAGCGCAAGGGTGACTAAATAGTATTTGTAACTTTGCAGAATTTTAGAAAATGTGTTTTTTAATTTAGTCCCCATGCATTAAATGTATGTATCCTTCTAAGCAACAGCAATCAGTTTACACAGAATAGCTAAGGTGCCATTTTTATTAGCCTACAATAAAGAGCCCATGAAACATTTTAATTAAAAAATAAAGTTAAACATTGCTAGTATTTATCAGCAGGATAATGTATATGTGTAACCTATAAATGCTTAAACGACCAGGCACTAGATTATTTACAGTGTTTTGAATCCAGTAGAGGTAGGCTCAGCCTGTTATATGCACAGTCACTATTTAGTCAAAACTTTATAGATATGGCTCTTTTGGAACATTGTGTAGGGGCCACCAGTTGTGATAGCCTTACGAGATCACATGAGATACTTGCAGGTTATTACACTTTTACATAAATGTGTTAATTTGTTTTATAAAGGAAATGGAAAGAGGAGGCATGGGTGAATGTTTTATTTTCTACTATTTGTATAGTAAAACCTACCTCAATTAAACCTGCATGTCATAACTGTAATGTAGCAAAGACAGTGCCTTCATTCGTGATTTCGGGTGGCCATGGACCACAGGAAGTTATATAAACGTTTTTTATCCTGTCAGTCTACAATTTTATGCACAATACACCTTGTTTGTACTAAATGCCATTTATATTTTGTTTAATTTCATTTCCCCCTTGTTTTGTGTATATTTGGACAATCAAATAATGTGTATCATGACAATCAAATCAAAATCCTTTGATTTTGTGTATTAAAGAAGAAGAAGGAAAAGAAGATATACTTTATTTATCCCCAATGGGGGAAATTCTTTTTTCAGTCTTTGTTTTACACACACACACACACACACACACAGAGCTCATAGTGATGCAAATGTGGAGAGATGTGATCACCTCTATACAGCATGACATGTGAATTATGTTGGGAAGTTGTTAGTCATTAATCAATGAGTACAGTAATCTGAAGCAGGAAGTGTGACTCTGTATTATGACATACAATTCGGTATGAAATAAATTTTTGTGTTTTAACTTGCACAGGCTAGTCATATAACATTGAACAATCTCCTGAGTTATATTTCCCACCACCAATTAAGAATTGTATGTAAGTTACAGGATTACATTTATTCTCTCTCTCATTTGTTCACAGTCTTAACTGTACTCTGAAAACTAACTCTGGATCTCAAATAATAATGACTTTTTTCTATTTTTGTGATGTTTTAGTTCAGATTTTGGGGAATAATAATAGACTGAAAACAACCAGAGTGAGTTTGCTTGGTGTGCTACATTAGACAAAAAACATTCTTATAGTTTGTAATAATTTCACATAAGATCTAAAGTATCAGAATGAGGCACAGTAGGCTTATCTGTGTCTGCCTGTTTCAACTCTCACACCATTCTGCTTCATTCCATGTCCAGGGAAAACCATCTGTCTCCCAATTTGGTGATTTTAAAGTTACGGTTAAACTGATAGATTAAATGTTTAACTGAACTCACTAAAACCCATCATATTTTCACAAACACGGCTGTTTTGTTATTTCATGTATGCTAGGCCATCTTAGCTTTGCAGATATATGCTTTTTATAGGACAGCAACATTTTGCTAAATAAACCACTCTCCAGCATATACACTGTTGTTACTGTGTCTAATTAAATTATATCTTCTCAATGCTCTCAAAAACAACACACTGCATGACTATTACATCAAAAACATGGATTTTACAAGGGGACCTTGAAGGCAGCAGGACCTCCCACAGAGAGGAGAGGGATGAGAACCAGATGAAAAATACAGAGGTGGATACCAGCTAGGTGTATGTCAGTAGTCAGTATCAGATTAGACTAATCTGAAATATCTGACCCAATGTATCTGACACACCTGTGTGACTAGTATAGAGCTTTAGAAAAAAACACACCTGTTACTCACAGACAGTTTGGTTTATTCATTCATGAAGACAATCCCTTACAGTTTTAAGAATGAAAGCTGTTAGATTTGTCCTTACACTTCAAAACGAACGCACAAACAAAACAGTCACATCTGAGGCAGTATGTTGGCATGTTTTTTAACAAGAACTGGGATCATTAAGGAGTCATGTCAGAGAGAACCAGCAGAGGGCAGTATTGTATACAGAAAGTATAAAAGGGGGGAAACCAAGGATCCTTCCTTCTGTATTCAACTTTCTTCTCTTTTCCCCAGTAGTTGACCCTATTTTTCATCTTTACTTCTTTATTATAGATTCAGTCCCAAACACCAGAGCTCATATTGATTCAAATATATATAGTCATTCAATTCAATTCAATTCAGTTTTATTTGTATAGCGCCAAATCATAACAAGTTATCTCAGGACAATAAAATTCAAATAGAGCAGGTCTAGGTCGAACTCCTTATAGCATTATTTACAGAGACCCAACAGTTCCCTGTCATGTACAGTAAGTTGTGCAATCAAATACAAGCAGCATTTTCTGCGATACAAAAGATAAAATAAAATAAAATCAACCTGCCACATAAACATCTCATTCATTGGTTTTCAGAACAATCGCAAAGTTAAAAACTTGATAACACTGCAAAATGTCACAAAACTCTCACCTTTATTATCCTGCTAAGTGGGAACAGAAGTGGAAACGCTTTGTTGATGAATTTAAAATAAAATTTTAAGCACACATCCTTTTGTGTTTCCACCTTTACCTCACATATTGACGCAGACATTTATTTATGTTTTGGAAAAATCAGCTCTGTCCGTCGTGTATGGCCTCCCTGGCAAACTAATTTCTCCTCCTTCACACTAAAAAAGACAAAAAAAGACAAAGTATGTAAGGTGGGTGTCGTCTTTGCTTGAGACATGAGACAATCTGAGTCATAACCTGTTAGAAGCCAACAGTAAATTCTCAACTGTTACGCAACAAGCAAACATAACAGAAGTAGAAGGCCTCAGAAAGTTGCATTTCTAACATTGCTGTCAGGTGGAAATATATAAGCCAATTTTCATTAAAGGTTTATCACAAGACGGTTTTCTGCCTCTTTTCTATTATAATTATGTTTAAGTTGAAGAGCTAAGCCTTCAGTTTTTCTGAGAGAGAAACCCTGGCCAGCTTTCAAAAGCCTAGAGGACTAATGAACAATATTATCACTGGTTTTAGGGTATTTCCAGAATCCAAAACCTCTTTGTCCATCTGAATCAAAAACATTTAATTCACTCTAAAATCAATAATATGTTTATAACCACTTTATCTGGTTGTGACTCTTTTATCTAAAGATCTTAGCTAGGCCATACTGTATCTTTTTACTCAATCTGTACGACAAATATGGGCTGATATTT